TGTATGTATCTATGTATTATGGGCACGTGGCCGAGTTCTTAGCTCGTTCACATTCTGATCATGAGACCCGGGTTCAAATCTCACCATGTTCGATTTGCCAGGAAGGAGACTTCCTGTTGTTGATACCGACTTTCAGCACCTTTGGAAAGTGCCTGAAAAAAAACAAAAAAACCATACAACGGGTTGACCCAAGCATTGTGAGTGAAATTGGGTTGATGGAGCCCCAGTGGTGGTGGAGTGAGGGCGTCGATAGCTGTGCTAGCACGATGTCACAAGTCATTGGGGCGAGGTCTTGAGCGTTCTGACCTTGTTCAAATTGTTGATCACGATCTTTCCCAGAAGCTGTAACTAAGGTCTGCCCAGCATAGTTGCAGTATAAACCACAGGTGGGCTCTGAATAAGCATAAATGCCCATAAGCAAGCGTCTATAGTAAGGACTGGCTAGCCGCCCCATTAGACCGGTATTCTCGAATACAAGTGGCCAGCTATATACATGTATTATTAAAATATGTAAGTTTTGCTTTATTTATTATTACTTATTCTGAAATGTTATGCTGATTGTTATATTCAAAACAGGTAGATAAAAAGGACTTTTAATATTTGGCAGGTTGCATAAGTTTTAGAAGAATTCAAAGCGTCAAGCAGGATTTGGTTTGAAATACGAACGCCTGGAAGTTGATAAAAGAAAAAACTCAAAAACTGAATAACTGAATCTTTATACAGAGTTGATTGTGGGAAAAAAATCTAGAACATCGTTTACTTCTAATTACCCCGTTCTCTAAAATTTAATTGCAACATAATTGTGCTAACTGGTTTCAGAGTAGATAGATAAAAGTAATCTTCCAGGTACTTATCCTAAAATTCTTATTGAGGCATTATCTATATTAGGAGACTATTTTTATAGACCACTGGTGATTTTATGACTTAATGATGATACTTAAACTGCTGAATAAGAATCCAATACAACCTACTCAAAAATAATTTAAGAACTTTCATTATACTCAGATATGGATAAAGTACCATTTGTAATATGGGTCCAGATCTCTTTATAGGCCCAAATCAAGTTAGTTCGTTTCGTTGTTTTTGTTTAACAGTATATCAACAACCTTATGGGTTATATAATGCTGAAATCTAAATATTTTGTACGCAATTTAAAAAAAAATAATATAATAAATAATAATGATTTCAGTGTTACAATTCTTACTAATTAACCCGTAGCTGGGGAGAGAAGAGGTGATTTATACTTTTCCAAAGAGTATTTACGCATCAGTGAATATAACGAACCCAACATGAATTGGAACTTGGCTCTCCGATTTACAATTCCGAGCCATTATCTATTACATAACCCGCACATCTAAGCTTACACCGTCCTGGGTATAACGATAAACTACATCCGCGTCCTGGGTATGACGATAAACTGCATCCGCGTCCTGGGTAAGACGATAAACTTCGTCCAACAGCAAAGCCTCTGATCAGGAGATTTTGAGGAGAGTGGTACCACCTCTTAATTGCTGGTTTTCCCAGGACCACCCTGATCCAGGGTGGTAGCACCTGTTAGGGTCCCAGCTATAGGCAAATAGTTAACACCTAAACTTGTGTAAAAATATGTTTTAATACCAGAAATACTTATTATTACCAACAATAATTTTTGAAGGAAAAAATACCAGCAATATTTTTAAAAATACCAACAATACTTAAAAATATCAGCAATACTTAAAAAAATATCAGCAATACTTTAAAAAATACCAGCAATACTTAAAAAAATACAAGCAATACAAATAGTTATACATTCTTTGGAAAAAAATATAACCAGCTATAGATTTCTTCAAGGAAAATATTCCCAGAAATAGATTTTTGAAGAAAAACATTATCATCAATACAAATTTTGTCGGCATTAAATAACCCATTGAGATTGATATGCCGTAAAACAAACCAAACTAAACCAAACTAAACCAAACCAAGCTTACAGACACGACGTTGCTTAACTTCGGTGATCGTATGTTTCAATGTGATGTGGACGTAAGCCTCTAATCGAGTTGATTTCTTATATAAAGTACATCACTAGAAATTCTTTTACTAAACGCAAAATAAGCCAAATTTTATTTTTGATCACAGTAAATCAATAAAATTCTTTATAGGTGGTTATTTCTATAAAAGTAAATAACACCTTGTAGATATTTCTGACATATAATACATATGAAAGACTTCTGCTATTAATATAAAAGACCAAATCCAAATTTTTCAAAATAGATTTAAAGGCAAATTATTAGGTTTGAAAGAAAGTTCCCGTCATATTTGAAAATTGAAAATAAAAATAAAATCCTTCTTTTGACTTAATTAATATATTTCATCGCGATATTCCACAACATCATCAATAAAATTTCTCAGATCAATAACTAAAAATGGCTTGAAGCGAACGAATCTTCTAGATCTTAACGAAGACATTCTTTCACCAAAACTTATAAGCTGGCGCTACACAATCAAAAACAATGAACTTTAC